TCTTGTTACAAACAAATGTCTTGGCTCATGGTATAACGTATCCTTGCTTTGTACACATTCATTTGTAACTAGTACCAACTTTGCCAATGAAATTTTATTTGAATCATTTCATTAATCATTCAAGTTCACGTATTTCTAGGTAAGTGCTAGTGAAGGGACTTATTATTATGAACTCTTCTTTTTCCCAGTCCTGTGTTCTTCTATCACAATGCATTATTGCCCACACTTTTACACTAAGATCTTTTAAGCATTGTCATCGCAGATATTTAATGCTCAATTTAATTATCATTTTTCGACTTTTCATCTTAAAATGATTTAGTGCTCACTACTTACTGTAAATAAAGAACAAATAACAATCAGATCCTTGGACATTATCGGCTGTGTAGCTGTTCTGTCATGATTATAAATGTAGGGCTCTTTGTCCAAGAAATGTCTGTGTAGTCTATCACATTACAAGTCTGTTCTTTTCCTGTTTACTACCTTACAATTCCGTTCTCTTGCTCACTGCCTATCTTGCTTATTTGTGTTCTTAAAAAATTTGTTTGAAAATTATTAACTATCCATGTTTTGTTCTTGTTATGTATACTTTGTATTTTTACTATTATGTACTCTAGTGTGTGTATCCAATGTATGCATTATTGGGGTAATTCGTTAGAAATAAATCAATAAAATAAATGAATAAAAATATGATTCTAATTCGAGTATTTATAAATAGGCATCATGTTTCACTAGAATCATATTTTAAACAAATATGTTGTTAGATTAAAGTTTTTTCCAACACCAATAAACTTTATCTAGTACATTTTTTTAAAGGATACAAGATCATATTTCTGAAGGTATTTTATTTTTATCTATATAAATAAAATTAGAGTTTTGTCTGTACATTGCTTAGAATAATGAACTTTTTGGTTATTTTTACATTTCATAGGTCAGAGAAACCGAATCAAACCTTATCTCAATTTCTGTCTGTCTGTCTGTCTGTCTGTCTGTCTGTCTATCTGTCATTCTCTTGGTAACGCTAAAATACGCACTTTATTACAACTACTCCTCAATAACTATAGCACTGTCCCGCCTGAAACTTATTTTCCAAATACTATACATATATGAGATGGTTTTAGACGTATTTCATCGAATATGAGACAGTTAGATATTTAACAGTAAACCCTTGAAAATCAAGTTTTTGTCGATTTTTGACGTGGAATTTCTGGAAGCCCATGTTAACCTTATGAGAAATGAAATTATTGAATCTTAACAGCTGTTTCAATTAAACAAGTTGGTTCTGTTCTGTGATGTTCAATAGCATTAAAGTTACAAGGATTACCAACAGGGTGCAGCACTAGCACTATTATTTCTTTTACATTTATGACAACAGCTAATTTGCAACCTGGAGGCGAGTGAGCGTAGCGAACGAGCTAACCTGAAGGCAAGTGAGCGTAGCGAACGAGCTAACCTGAAGGAAAGTGAGCGCAGCGAACGAGCTCCAACATACAGGTGAGTGAGCGTAGCGAACGAACTTCAACCAGGACGTGATTGAGCCATGCAAACGAGATCAGATAGTAAAAATAAAAGTAAGCCTACCGTTATAGGATCGACCGGCAGACACAGAGGTAATTTAACCTTTTATTGATTGTCATACCGATCCGGAACAACAAAAAACAACATAAAATGAAGCTATGTATAATAGTTTGGCCAGCATATCTTAAAATATGCAAACCAACTGCTGTTCGTTATATAAGAAGGTTTCAACTGAATATTATAAGATCCCCGTGCGTAGAACGGGTACACAGCTAGTTTTAAATACTTATATAACTTAAATATTGTTTGTCAGTAAATGTGTAAATACGTTTTATTTATTCGCCATTTAATAAGGAAATATAACAGTATTAAGTACAAACTAAATTCTTTTTTTATCTTACAAAATGAAGTAAGTGAACTCTGTGCAATCAAAGCACAATTTTACTCAAATATATAAATACATTTATGGCGTTTACTTTTTTGTTATTTTGCACCCTATTGTGGATGATTATTTTTATAAAAGCAAGAGCTAATTACAAACATTAATGCTTTGTTTTGTTACCTAAGAAAACGTATGGTTTTTTCTTTTAAAAAATCTTCTCGCAATTGTAAAACAATTAAAACACTCGTGCTCATTTAGATTTTGTTAGAAGTCCTGAGTTCCTGGTTTTCTACTAACGTGACTTTGTCGTTTATGGTACCCCTGCCTGATTGGCCCTCCTGAAAAATCATCCTACCTTTTCCTAATCTCCTACAATTTTAGAAGAACAGAAAGAGGTAGAATATCAAAATTAATATAATCAAGCTAAATGAAATAAATGGAAGAACTGAATTGCATTTTTTGGTTGGGAATATCCGTTTAGTAGACTATAACGGACATTAGTATCGTAGAAGAAAGTAAGCACAGAAAATATCTATAACCTTTTAAGAGTTTAAAACGGGTATTTACATGCGCGAAGAACAATGTCCCAAAACAACCTATGGAGGTTATTACCAGCTTATAATTCAGGTATAAATTGTATAATAAAGGAACATAGGGAAATTAAGTTCAATGTAAAAAGCAAGCACAGCGAGAAAGGATACGTTGGAAATTATTTAAACACAAAAATGCTAGATATATAAAAGGATGAGTTCTGACGAGTTGCGGAACGGTGGAAATGCAAAGAAGTGACAAAGGGCGGTGGCTTGTGGAGAGGTCACAATTCATCGACAACAATCATCTTCCTCCCTTCTTAACGTCATTTCTTCATGAAAGACTGACTTTAATTTATACTTGTATGCATGCACACCAGAAATATCCTATAATGTAATGATCTGTAATGTTTATAATGTAATGTTGCAGGTAATTGTTAAATTTACTCTAAAAGTAGTTACGTATCAGTTTTTCCTGTAAAACATCCATCAAATGGTAAAGTCCGAAAACTTATGCCTTCATATTCAATTGAAAAGATCCATAGCCTAAGCTGGCATCCAAACCCCTTGTCTAAATGGATTTTCATTTATAATTTTACTCTCTCCCCTATAAAAAGTATATGGAGAAAGTATTGGTTTCGTCAAAATATTCTAGTTTGAGTTTTGAGTGGATACATCCGTTTTGGGCCCCCCTGAACCCAAAAAAGGTGGTTTTTAAAGTGATGTCTGTGTGTAGATGTGTACAGAGGTACAGACCACACCTGTCGTTCAATTTTGATGAAATTTGGTACCTAGGTACTAATCCATTATATCTCCAGGTAATGATTTAATTCTTAATGGTAATTTCTCCATAAAACCCATACAAAAACGGAAAATCGGGTTTTCTCGAAAACGGTCCGAACGATTTTGATAAAATGTAGTAGTTGTATGAGTTGTTATATGAGTTGTTAAATGAGCTGTTTTTGATAATGAGAGTGCTTTAAGTAAGAGCAGGTATATAGCTCTTTATGTTACCTAGAACTCTTATAACTGGGATAGCGTGTCAGATAGAATACAGGGCGAATAAAAAGTCAAGACCCCCCTCTTCAAATATTTGTCTAAGTAAATATACAGAGATATCCTTTTGGTGGTCATGCAATCTTAGCAGGAAGTTTCATTTTATGATTTTGAAATTTGTAAATGTCCCCCAAAAAGGGGGAATATTGGGGGCAACCCAACATTTTTTAGAGTAAACCCCCTTCAAGTGCCATCTTATTGATAAGTGTTACAAAGACTTAAAGAATGATGTAAACCAGAGTATACTATTTCATTCCTATCCAAAATGGTAGCCCGTTAAATATTATGGAAAATCAATGGCAATATTGGTTCGTAATTGTAATATTGGCTTCCATTTTGGACAGAGTAGATATATCAAACTCTGGTTTTCACAATTCTTTAAGTTTTTGTAAACACTTTAAAATGAAGTGTCACTTGAAGGGGATTTACATTTAAAATTTTTTAGTTGCCCCCAAGATCCCCCCTTTTTGGGGGACGAATAAAAATTCAAAATGATAATATGAAACTTCCCGCTAAGATTGCAAGACCACCAAAAGGATATCTCTGTATATTTACTAAGAAAAATATTAGAGGGGGGGGGGTCTTGACTTTTTATTCACCCTATTCTATTTTAACTGATCTGATTAATACAAAGTGATAAAATCTGAATACTCTCACCTCAAGTCCAGAAGATAACTTGGCTCTTAAGTTCTTCATATTAGAGACTGCACCCACACTGCTACATGAATATAATACACACTCATAAAAAAAACTAGTTCACTTAAGTGAACACTAAGAATGTATTCGTAAGACATACCAAGTTACGGCCTAAACAACTTCACCAAAGGTTCTAACTTAAGAGCTGTGTAGTATAGAGTTTATCAATAAGCTTAGAGCTTTAAATTGAATTCTATTGCTTTTGGTATAAAATATCAAACGGAAAGCCGGGAAATCGAGTATAAAATTGTATAATAAACTGTCGAAACAACTAATGATGTTTGATAGATATATCAACAGATGTAGATTTACAGTGATGCTTGAGTTTTTATTACCTTTTTCATCATTTGAATTTATTAAATAAATCTCATTTGTTTTTCACCTATATTAGCTGTACCAAAACATACTATCGTACAGTCAGTGTATATACGTCATATGGGTTATCCAGTGATGACTGCAGTTCTATCATAGAATGTTGTTTTGTAATGCTAGAACCAGCAATGTCCGAGTCTTACTTTAGCCCAAGACCACTGTGCTACCTTCTTTATGGGAAAAATGTTCAAAGGTGTGCATTAGACTAAGCTAAAACAGGTTAGAACCCTATTTGTTATGTTAATTAGAATTAACTTCAGATTTGCAAAATGTGGTTGAATATAGGTATATTCGATACATTAAAACAAATTTGCAATACTGTCTTGAAGTATTTAAATTTACATGCTCATAGACTCCTCTGAAGTGCAATAGAATTATTCAGTTCTCGTCTACAGATTTTAAAATCGATCACACCTTTAGGAGCACGTAGGAAAGAATCACACCAGGAATAAAGTATTGCCTTTTTATTGATATGTTTTAAAATATTTAATTAATACAGAATAGACACTCTGATCTACCATTACTCCAACTTTATTACATGTAATATATTCTGCTATATCATAACAGTAACAACTATATTTTACATCAATTGGTTGTGGGCTTACTACATTACAGAAAAAAGTAAAAAATGCATTATATTTAAATATTTTTTACGATTATTCTGACATTATGAATATACGTTTATATACTTCTTAGTAAAATATATTATTCTTAAATCTAAAGAATTCCAATAAATAAGATAAGAAATATAGCTCTCCATATTTACCAAAATATATTATTTAAACCACAATTATTAGTTCTTAATATTGTTTTTCCAATTTACTGATTACTTAACATTTACGTACACATGTTTAATTTCACCATTTGACTGTCACGTGCATTGATCGTTAAGCTAAAAAACCAAATTTAGTAAATGTTGAATTCTATTGATAATATCTTTTTTAGAAGTATTTGTTGACTTTAAATTTTAACCATCAAATTAAAACAAACAATTTCAATAGAAAACTTTGTCCAGAACTATGCAGAGAGCAGAAAATTTGCCACTCAAACTGACAATGTTGAAATATGAACATATTCCTTGCATTTTTATAAATACTTTGAAAAAACAGTGACTCCCCCTCCCCCAAGGTTGAGCTCATTTTGTTGTGTATAAAAGAGGAGTAAAAAATTATAAACGTAACAATATGATCAACAGGTTAGGTATTAGAATTACAACACTTCGTTTTTATTGCCTACCAAGAAGTGTTCTATTCCTAAATATAGTCGTATGAAATGATAAGGGATTGAGAGAAACATGGTTGATTCATATTGATTAGCCGTATTGACATTGTGTATTTGGTATCTAGATCTATTACAAAATTAATAGATTTTGTAGGAGAAGAGAAACGGAGGTGGAGGTGTAACTAGCGCAGATCTGGCATTTCATTGGTTGACAGCTTCTGCTGATTCTGAGGATGATTGGCTGAGAACTAAGGGGACTGCAACACAACAAGACAAACTGACATTAGAAGTAGAACTGATATAAGCATGACTGTCACAGACGCTTCTGCCGATTCTTAGGATGATTGGCTGAGAACTAAGGGAACTACAACACAACACAAACTGACATTAGAAGTAGAACTGATATAAGCATGACTGTCACACACGCTTCTGCCGATTCTCAAGATGATTGGCTGAGAACTAAGGGAACTACAACACAACACAAACTGACATTAGAAGTAGAACTGAAATATGCATGACTGTCACACACGCTTCTGCCGATTCTAAGGACGATTGGCTGAGAACTAAGGGGACTGCAAAACGACAAACTGACATTAGAAGTAGAACTGAAATATGCATGACTGTCACAGATGCTTCCGCTAATAGTACAGGTAAAACTCTTCTAAAAACACATAGTAAAATTGGCCCGTTCATGAAACTTGCAGGAAACGTAGTAGTTACCATTAAAACCACCAGTTTGTTGTTGTTTTATTGGACCCTGACTTCCATGGATGGTGATGATGCCTCAGTAGCTGATGAACAATATGACACGTAGTGATTAAAGAGGCGTAACTACTAGTTTCTTAGTTAATGTTCCTTACAATGTTAACGTATTACACATAGACTCATGACCAATTTTGTTTTAATTGATATTAACTTATATTAACTGATTGATAGTAATTGATATTTTATCTTAACTTGTCATAATAGTTTTTTATGAATACAGTTGTCTTTTTCTCATACTACTCTGCATCCTAAGAAATATAGAAAACCAAACCCCACTTGCTTGGATCCCATTGTGACGGGTAGTCACCAAAAATTATTTTCTAAATTTTGGGATTATATTTCAAAAGTAAAAGACCTGGTAAATGGATTTCACAATGCATATACCAGTGTCAGAACATTAGCATTTAGTAGACAGAATTCTTGATGACACGTAGCTTGCTCAATCGACCGACCCACAAAAACCGTAGACTTAGCAATTGTACTTTGGGGAGACTGAGGTCGGAGTTGACCGAAAGGAAGACACTTGGCCCCAGTCATCTATCGGGGACACTTCGCCGGTCTCCGGGTTTTGGGTAAGGCGATTTCTTTATTAATATTACAACTTTATAATTTTTGTGATTGTCCAGGCTAACTTAACCTTTTAAAGTCAGTGATTGATTGATACTAATCGTAATCAATTTTATAATAATTGATTTCATTTATAATTTGTGTGAATAAATATAGTGACTATTAAACTCCTGTTTGAATATATTAACGTGTCAAAAAGAATTATAATTATTAGAGTTTGATATATAAATTTCATTTGCTTAGGCCTATTTAAATAAAAGGAGCCTATAATTATTTTATCATCCATTTTTATTATTGTCTTTATTATTATCTTTATCATATTGTCCATCCACTTTATTTGAATAATGATTAAACATTCTTTTACCTCTCACTAAAGAATTCTTATTATTTAAATCGATCCCGGTTACGCCCCCGGTCACAATTTCAATCGTGGCACCATAAATAGAAATATTCTCAAAATCACTACCACCCCCCCCCCCCTAAAATTTTACCCTTATGAAATGGTACTTCCAACCCCGCAATCATTAGGGACTCTTCAGATTTCAAAACCTAATGGTAAGTACTACGTTTCCTGCAAGAACCATGAATGGACAAATTTTAGTAGAATTTTACCTGTACTATTATTTTAAGACCACCAAGTTAGCGTTGCATTATTTCTCAGGAACAACTAACTACAACTGCAATTAATAGGATGACACAGACTTTGATTGTACCACCAGCTCTTTCGGTCTTTAGACAAAATTGAATTATTGAAATAAGTAGGGAAAATATTTGTATAACCTGAAATTAAATGGAGCTTAATTTTTGTGAAACCCCTTAAAAGTATATTAAATTAATTCCACGTATCAGATACAGGGACCAAACTATGCTCTTTGAACAGCATATTTTACTATTTAAATAAAGCAGTAACAACTATAAACAGAGTAATCCAACCAAACGAAAATTGATACGTTTAAATATGCGACGAGTTAATGGATTTTACCAACCAATATAAGCGGCTTTGAGACTTGGTCCAATAAGGCCAAGCGGTCGGACCTCTTACACAGGTTTGATGAAATCTTTAATGAAACCTTAACAGCCGCAAGGGAGTTGTGCATAATGCAAGCCGGAAACCCTATACCTAAATTATCTCTTGTTAAACATAAAATTTAGAAAATGAGTTAAATTAACCAGATAAAAAGCTTTGGTATGTATTTGTAAGTAAATTATATGTCATGATATGATGTAAATAAATAAATCTACTGACGAAAGGGAAATAATGTTTTAGGCATATCTTGTACTCGTGAAATTTGGACTGTTTTGGTCTATTAATGAAACACTTTAACGTTTCTTTTTAATAAAATTTAAAACTTAAGTTAACAAATTTTCAAACTAAATAATTTATCTTAAAAAGATAAACAGTATGTTGGATTTACATTATACACCTGTTACTGAAAAGATATCTGACGACTCCTAATTTATTCATACATATAGTATATATTATGTATAGTAAATTAATGTATTATGTGTATATATAGTAATTATACTTGATATTTAATAACTCGACTTTTGATGAAATCGTTTACAACTCAACTCGAAAATTGTCAGGAAAGATAAAAATAATAACATTTTGTTAACCAGATACATGTGTTAGGAGTCGAAAGTAGAAACTTAAGTGTCATATTTTAATAAAAATAAAGGGAAAACCACTTTGTATGGTAATTTTATTTTTTATAGTTGAACCTTTGGTAACGTGTTCATGAAATGTTTGTATGCATGAGTAGAACAGCATGTATTAGGAATGAATTGAATCAGCCGACAGTCTAATTTAAACTTGAAATACATAAGAAGAATAGGAAAGCAGGCTTCCCGCTCAGTCAACACAGCATTGAGCTACTACAAGCTTAGGTAATGGAATAATTTGCAATGCCATTGTCCTCGCGGAATTCCGCCCTTTTATATTGCAAGAATAACAGCCTTTATTTTACTCTTAGGACACTTTCGTTCCCAACAAAGGGCATCGTAGTATTCAATTATTACTTTATGGTTCTTTCAATACTTAGGGTAACTTAGACTTACTGCATAAATAAAGCTAATTATGACTTGAATACCATATTGAGTTTACTACTATTGTTTTTACAATTCAATTTAAATCGACAAGATTACACAATGCAATACTTATCAATGTTCTAAATTGGGTCTCACAAAAGGGTTTCGCAAGGCTGGTATCAAATTAGGCTACCGTGAAAGGAGAGGAGGTGCAAAAGCATTATTTATTCACTCCAGATTCGTTTGTCTACAGGGACAGCCTGATTGGAACTGTTCTGAAGCCTCTCTCCTGGCGAGGGTCTGTCCAAGCAAGGAAAACTGAGTACAGTAAGTAACAATATACGTTGACCTAATTGCTTCTTCTTAGTTTTTAAACAGATAACTGATTAAATACTACGAAAACATACTTTTAAATGTAACTACTGCTACTGTAACTAATTTTACTGCTGTAATTTAGCGTCTCCTTTTGGTTGCTTCAAATCATTAAATATTGTTTGAATTAATCAATGGTTGTTAAAACAAAATATCTTAACGACATGCCACTAGGTAAATGTGTATTCCAATATTAATATTGGCCATTAATGGCTATTAACTAGAAAACTTACATGGCAGATATTGCATGAAAACAAATGACAGAGCAATATTGATTTAAATATTTTCCTAACTAGAACACTATTCATGTATCAGGAATGTTGAGTTGTACGACTTTGGCTTTGGCATGTCAAAAATCTTTGAAAGCTCATATTGTTAAAGATTATCGCAATGTTATGACATTGCAATAATATAAGGGAGCCATTTTAAACCCTTTTAACTATTACAGAAAAGATGCTGTACATAATTTTATTAATATACACCTTGTTGCAATATGATTTTAATATGCAATTTTAGGTATCCTATCTTGGGACCAAGGTAAAGCGAAAAAAGAAATACAGTAAAACCTTGATAACAAGACTCTCGCAGGGATCATAAAAAAGACTTGTTATCAATGTTGACTACTTATCGAGGTTTGTAATGACATATGATTAGGGGTAAAATAATTTCAAGGGGATTTGAAAATGACCCTTGGTATCAACGGTGACTTGTTATCGAGGGTCTTCTTATCGAGGTTCTACTGTAGTTATCTTTTGTACTAAAAAGGTTCCACAACATTAACACAGAGTTAAAAACGTCTTTAACTCGGCTTGATTAAACTTTCATTCCTTTGGAAATGTTTAGTACCGAGAGTGATATTAATAATATTTAATTTTTGTGAAATATATTTAGTTGGTCCAAAATTGTATTTTTAAATTAAAAATAATACTTATACTGATTGAACAGGCACAAGCTGTCATAAAATATTGCAAATTCAACAATCTAAGGTTTGGCTTTCTGTTCTACAATCTCACTGTCAGGAATAATGAGACCTTCTTTTTAACTAGGCACATCTCATTGAATCAAGTAGCACTTCAGTTGGATTCATTCTGATGGGTATTGTCTTTTCTACATTATCGGTAATCATTTTAATCCAAGCGGTTTCATTCCTAATCTCATATCTATTCATTCAGTTAATCGTGTTTGTAGTCGGAAGCTACAGATTACAAACACCTTTTATGTGTTTCTTTTCCATTATAAAAAAAAAAAAAAATACTAAAAAAATATAAATTACTAAACGATTTCCTGGGAACCGAGCTGTGCTCGGGAAAATCATTATTATACTCTGAGAGCAGTCTTTGGTCAATGTATCCTAAATCTTCTTTTTCAGTATGTTCTAATCAGTAAAATAGTTATATTGTAAATGACTTTAATAAAAACTTCGTACTTGTAGAGTGTATAAAACCAAATACGACTTTCAAAATATCGAATCAGTGGTGTGATCAGATTTAATTTTTTTCATATATAGAAATTCCACCTTCTATGGCAAGAAAACAATCGGACAGAAAATGGTGATTTATGTAATAATATGAATAAGAATCACGATAACTCGATTACCTGCAGTTTAAAAAACTTAGTTAGCACCCAAAACTACTAACATATTTTAGTTCTACGTTTACATGTTGGATAAAAATTGAGGAACAATCTGTGATTCAACAATGATCAACTGATAATAAAATTGAGCAAGCCGATACACTTTATTTTGATTTCTAAAAAATACCCAAACAATCTGGTTGGAGTGTTATCAGTTCTATGAGTGTTTGCTTGTCTACCGTAGCGGTGTAAATGTCGTCAGTTGCAGGTTGTACTGAGGCGGGGAGAACTGCCGTGAGGGACTACCAGCTAACCTGATTAAATCCGACCCTTTGTTAGGACATTAACTAGTTATCTTCAGGTACACAGCACACTTTACCAGCCGTCATAGTCCGTTATGATATTGTTAAAATATAAACAAATTGGCTATGGTATAATATAGGGGCAATAGTAAAATCAACACATGAATTACTAAATAATAAACACGTTAAAATCAGAGAACACAATCAATATAGTTATAATATGCATCGTTGTGTCCACTTTGGTCCAAATATTTCCAACTCCATGGTAGCTTGTCATTTGAAGTCACCAATAATCCAAGTTTGTTCATGAAGAGGGCAATTCATTAAACGTATACAGGTTTTATATTATCCTATATTTACAGTTAGGACAGATTCAAAATCTAGAAAATGGCAGTCGAGTTTTAATTAACCGAATACTGTATTAATTTGACAAAGTATTAAGGTTGAAATATTTTGAATAACAATCGTAGGTACTCGGTGATGCTAAGCTAAGCTGACGATAATTACGTCTACGGATTTATTCTACAGTTGAACTTTATTGTAGGCTAATTGTTCATGGCCACACCCGATATAGATATTTTTATTAAATAAATTTACACTGTTTTTGTATGATAAGGAAAGTTACCTATATGATAAACATACGCTATTGAACTATGAATATAATTGATTATTTGTAATAAGTTGAAGATTTACCTCCGCTATGGTTCGGCTCGTCCCGCTTATTCCGCTCGCCATGTTGCTCCGCCAGCAGCGCCAGTAAACTCTCCAGGTCTTCGCCGTCCTTCTTGCCTCGGACCCCCATGAACCCAGATGCCGGCCCCTTCTTGCCTCTCATGCCAACAAACCCTGAGGGACCTTTCTTTCCTCTCATCCCGAAGAACCCCGAGTTCTGGGGCATTTTCTTGCCCCTCGTCCCGAAGAAACCAGCTGCTGGCGCTCTTTTGTCTAGATCATCTAGAGGCCAGCTGTCGTCATCCAGAAAGTCGTCGTCTGTGTAGTCAAACTTCTTTCCTCGCATTCCCATAAAGCCCGACGGAGCCTTCTTTCCTCTCATAGCTGCAAACCCCATGGATGGCGCTCTTTTGTCCAGACCACTATCGAAGTCGTACTCCGGATCAAAGTCTTTTTTGCCCCTCATCCCCATGAAGCCCATACCTTGAGCTCCTCTCTTGAAGTCAGAGTAGTAGTCGGCCATGTCGAACGAGTCCTTTTTCCCTCGCATTGCTGCGAAGCCCATGCTAGGAGCTCGTTTGTCGTCAAACATGTCCTTCTTGCCGCGCATTCCCATGAAGCCCATGGCGGGAGCGCGGCGCTCTAGGACACCAGCATCCTCCGCCTGCAGTACCCAGACGCAGCCCGCCACGTACAGGAGGCCTAGCGTCCACCTCGCCTGCAGTCCCATCTGTAACATACAAGATATGCCATCAACATATGTACACCCACCCGTACTTGGGATGCTATAAGAATATGTTGACCAGTCATTAGGGTAATAGTAAGAATCCGACAAAAAAAATATGTCGTAAAAGTTTTTCAACTGTATTTTTATATTAGACAACCTTTGGTAAAATAAATAAGTACGTTTAAAGAGATTTTTAAAGGACGTATTTTTACATTTTATCATTAAATTTAATAGATTATAAAATGAGGAGTAAGTATAAAGCATTACCGAGGTTAGTATAAAGAGTATTTGAATACCTTGTTCAACTCAACGAGGTAAACTGTATAAAACAGCAGTTAATAAAGATGCAGCTAATAATTCTTTCAACTGACACCTTAACAGTATGAACTAAACTATTGTAAAATGTATTGGGTTCATAAAATGATATGTGCAACCGGTTCAATCATTGTTCAACAATGTTATCTTTAAATAATAGGTTTTATCCCTAGACGTTACAAACAGATGTGCTAGACTATGTGAGGATTCAACTGCAGTGAAATAGTGGGGATTCAAGACAATTTACAGCTTGGTATCTCTTCCCATAGTTTCTCCTCCAGTTGTTTCTTATAACATCTTCTAAATTTATGGTGTTCATCATCAATTCATTGTACACTCTAAAGTTTCTCATAGCTCATAGGAATCCTTAGCTTTATGTGCAAACTTTTTTTTTACCTAAGCCTTTTTAATAGAATTGTACAGGGTAACAATACATTAGACAATGATCACTATATGGACTAAAGAATTTCCTTCTCATAACAATGCGTTTGATTATCGCCATATAATCAATAATGACCGCTAATTTAATCATCAAAGTATTGTGTTAATATACATGAGCAAATCACATCCTTTATTTATGGAATGCTCAATGGCTTACAAGTCTGTGACACAGCCTAACTGAATGTTAGGTCGCTCGATCTTTTAAGCCAATGGGGATAATCAACGAGAAATAACCATGCAGCCTTAAAAAATTATATGGGATTTTAAAATTATATTATGTAATAGTGAATTATTCACTTTTCCTCGTACAGTTGTTTGTGTACATAGTTTCAATTCACATCTTGCAATATAATTAGTAAGTTATGTATACAAGAGCATAATTTCCTTTGGAGTATATTGTGTACTGTTAAATTTAAATCTAACAATTGTTTGGATCCTTAAGGCAATATTTTCAATTTGAAATGAGTATAAAATCCATAATTAAAGACTAGTAAAATAATATTTTGTTTTAAAGGATTAGCATAACTGTGAAGAGACGCGTCTTGGTGTTATTGTTGGACCATCGTCTGTAACAAAGGCTTCATTCCCTCACCAGGTCCTAACTCATTTAGGATCAAACACTGATCCATCCGAATATCCACATGTAAATACATGCATATATGATTGTTGTGAAGTACACGTACACAGAAACATCCTGTACTAATACAGTATTATATTGATTGTAATTTCAGTATAGGCAAAAATGAGTATGTTATTTTTATAAATCAAGCTCTTTGCAAAGATTTACAAACATATGATTGATATTCACATATACAAGTACCTGAAACTTGTCTCGTTTGAATTACAACTATCGTAATTTGTTTGTTATTGTGATTGCATGCCATAATAGAGAATGTATAACTAATTGTTGATTTTAAAATCCATATTGCAAGTACCACACCTTACATTACCTTTTTGTGCTTAATGTTTTATTTATTTAATGTTTTAACTTAAATGCTATTACTAATCACTGTAGCCTACAACAATATTCTAGACCATATAGCCTACATCGCTAGGCCAATAAAACTCGAAAAGCGAATTTCCCGAATGACTTATTGGGATGAAAATGAGAAAACTAATATTTAATCCATAAAAACCTGTTTGCATAGTCCACTCATGCTAGTTTGCACACTTTTTGTTCCAAATTTAATTAATTCTAATGTGGTATTGTGTTATCACTGGAGTTATCGTGCTTTGAACACATATGTTTGGTATAAGTTTTAACCATATATGTTTTTGGTCTCTGGGAACATCAAAATGGAAAATTAAATCGGACCTAGAAGTAGGTCTTGTTATGAGACATATACGGCAATAGCTTTGCCCAACAGAGAAAACTCACTAAAACATAAATCGTGAATTAAGTTTTACAGGAGGTAGATCAAATTATTTTCTGTTACAAAGCACTTTTATTTACGTTGCTTATATTAAAAGTAATATATTTTCAAAATAATGTAAGGACTTTCAGTTAAGATAAAAAGTTCATTTGGATGGAACTTACATCTGATTATACATATTATATCTGATTATATCTGATTATACTTTTCTGAGAAATCGTACCATCCGTAAAATTGTGTGTGAATTGCTACTGCACTGTTGGCTTGTTTAGCTCAGAATTGTTCTACAAGTGACGTGTAACGGTAGGAGATTATATTCTCCTCTAACACTCGGAAGGCTATGAGACGTTGGTTATAAAAAGCCGCAAACATTCGTCGAGTATGGCTAATGAAGCGTGAGTCGCGCCTCCATCGCTACACATCACTGTTCTGGCTTCTCACTTCATTGCGTGTTTTTGTTGGCTTGTTTAGCTCAGAATTGTTCTACAAGTGACGTGTAACGGTAGGAGATTATATTCTCCTCTAACACTTGGAAGGCTATGAGACGTTGGTTATAAAAAGCCGCAAACATTCGTCGAGTATGGCTAATGAAGCGTGAGTCGCGCCTCCATCGCTACACATCACTGTTCTGGCTTCTCACTTCATTGCGTGTTTTTGTTGGCTTGTTTAGCTCAGAATTGTTCTACAAGTGACGTGTAACGGTAGGAGATTATATTCTCCTCTAACACTTGGAAGGCTATGAGACGTTGGTTATAAAAAGCCGCAAACATTCGTCGAGTATGGCTAATGAAGCGTGAGTCGCGCCACGATCGCTACACATCACTGTTCTGGCTTCTCGCTTCATTGCATGTTTTTGTTGGCTTGTTTAAGTTTTACTGTTGTATAAAATGCGTTTTGAATTTTAGTCAATTGACGGTTTTTTTCGATTTACAAGAGTCTGACTTTCCAACAAACAAGACCTCTTTTACGATACTATATAGTTGAACAATATCAGGATTAATAGTAAGAACTTAAGTCATAGTATCTTTACTAATACGAATTATTTTCCCTTTGAGTAAAAATACTGTTCTAGAGTACTTCGTTTAACAAAAAATGAAAGAACGCAACGGCATTTTTTATATTTAATGCCTAAGCATAAAACTTCAAGCACTGTTTTTATTATTAGCACTTAGTATGCAGATATGGGTTATGCCACCCTAAAGTCGACAGTATTGTTCGTAACTGTGTTGCCCATATGTTCAGGGGTCTCGCTCTAAGTCTCAATTTACAATTCTTTAGATTTAGTTTGTGGCTCTAGTGTTCGTGATATCTCTTTTGTTGTAATAACATATTAGGACACCTGTACACACCTGTATAGTCTGATGATGTTACTTTGTATAGGAAGGGAGTTTCCTTGGCAGCAACTAAGGCTATTAGACTCTGTAAATTATTCACAGGTTCGCAAGTTAGACCAGGGCCGCACCTGAGCGTAGCTCTCAGGCTGCTGTATGTATGTGAATATATATCACTTATATTACCACCATTCCCCTCCCACCATAACAAACTAATCATATAGAAATTGTAGCATACTGTTAGATGTTATAAGTTCGTATAAATCTATGGAAAATAGTATGATCAATATTTTTTAAATTAATTGTAGACGTCTTTCATAACTGAATGATCGCATTTCATAAAGTTGAGTTAATTTAATTAGGTGGGTAAACGTGCCGGTCCACCAATAAGTGGAGAAACATGCCACATAAATTGACCCAAGATGGCTTACAAAGTGCAGGGTCGAGTGCCAGTTGCCTATAAAAAACTTTGACGAGGGTAATTTTACAGCCTGAGGCTTGGCGGTGCGAGTGCCGTGCCAGCCAGGTATCAGTGACCGGTTCCACGGGGCGGCGGGTATGAGGGTTGAAAGGTCGACCAGGGTAGGACAGGATGAGCAAAACTGTGTTTCTACTAAAGTTGCTATAACAAAAGTATATATTTAAAATCCAACTTCAATGTTGGCTCAAGAAAACATAAGTAAGGGCTTATATATTATGAAAGGTGATTTAAAAGGTTATTCGATGACAGTCGATGTTTGTTCAACACTTTTCCTGACTCACCTTTCAGCAAAAGCTAGTGTTTAAATGGATTTATCGCCTAATAATCTTATTCAAGGCTGATTCGCTTGTTAAAATATTAGAAAAAGCTTAAAAACAATTACAAATATTTAAGCTTCATAGAGTTACTCAAGGATCTTCCGTACATTAGGTATTACAATATTTATATTGAATTAATTTCCGTAGGGCCGGAAAATAAAAATTATTTTATTCATGGTTTAGTTTGGATATGGATTACAAAATAAAAAACATATATAAAACAATTTGTAGGGTTGGTTTTATTCACAACTTTAAAATGTTACACTTTGATATAGTATTACAAAGCATGCATTGTAACATTATATTTTGGTGTCCAACACCCAAGAATGTTTCACAATGTAGGTAAAGCTCCAAAGCCAAGCGAGGTTACTCATCGACCGTATCTAACCACCAAGAGCGACTAAATATGTTTACAAGTTAAACTTTGTCAAGTCGTTTCTGCACGTAGTTACTTTTTCAGAAAGGGTTCTGTTTTACGGCGATGTTGTAACGTGACTTCCACTTTCTAAATGATGCCGTGCTTTGGATCAAATATAGTAAACTAATTTCCATTGTGATTTAGAGAATATTGAAACATAAACAAACGACATTGATCGCTAGAAACTTTGCCTTAGAATAATTTCCTAGCTTATAATTACCTTTTGCTCACACATCTTAACACTCATCCGCTAATCAACCATAAATGTATATTCAGAATCATAACAATTTTGGCATTGTATTACCTTTAACAATATGCAGGAGGAGT